ATAGGAATTGTCTTCTCCAGGGGTAATCATAAGCAACTAGTTGTAAAAATATATATCACCCGATAATAACACTGATGTTGAATAGCTGATTTTTGCTTCTCTTATTGCTGGCTGCCGACGACTTGCCAGCAAAAAACTGCTTGTTTCTGCCTGTTGGCTGATTAGGGAGTTTCCTGGATCAAACAGGGATTACCGCCGTCCCCCAGTGATCAACAGGCTTTCCCCCAGTTCCCCACCTCCTCGGGGTGGTTTTGACACCCTGGGGTGTGCCAATCAGGTCAGAATTCAGCCCAGGGGACAGAGCTCTGTCCTCCTCCTGCTGTCTTGTCTCGGCGTCAAGCCGGTCTCTCTGGACAGTAAGATTCTTTTTCTTCCAAAAAAAAAAAATTAAAAAAAAAAATTTCAAGACACAGGTGCGATTGGGTTCGGGTTTCACCTCTAGCAAGAGCTCTGTCCTCCTCCTGCTGTCTCGTCTTGGCGTCAAGCCGGTCTCTCTTGACAGTAAGATTCTTTTTCTTCAAAAAAAATTTTTTTTTTCAAGACACAGGTGTGATTGGGTTCGGGTTTCACCTCTAGCGATTCCCTCTTTTCCCTTATTACAAAGGAGGATTCAGTTGGTGCTGTCAAAATATTTTTATTTAACTAGAACTAGGGTTCCTCAACAATAACTTCTGTGGGTTCATCTTCACCCAAATACCGGGGGGGGGGGGGGGCTTTGGGAGAGGACTTTAACCAACTGTCCTGTTACTTTTATTTCAGTAACTTCTAGAACCAGGATATTCCATCACATTAATCTGTAGCTTGGTGCAGGGGTGTAACAGCAGCTCACATGGAGGGTCTCTGCTGGAATGGCCTCTCCCATTTCCTCCTCCTTCCAAGGAACTCTTTTCTTGGGGTAAACAGATACCATCCACTCTATCCCTTCAGGCTCAGCTAACTGAACAGTAACCCCCTTCCTTCCTCTCTTTTTTAGCTTCAACGGGGGGCATACTCCTTTGTCTTTTCTCTATCTCTTCTATAGGGAGTTTAATATGAAACATTTTGTGAGTCCATGGATCTTCTACTTCGATCCATACTCAACCTGGTGGTAATGTCTCTACCTCTGCCCTCTCCTCCTCCTCCTCTTTTTCCTCTTCGTTCACCATCCCCTGCTCACTCTCCTTTTATTTCCTCCTCCTATACTGTAGTTCTGCCCCTCCTTCCTTTTCTACTGCTATAAAATTGTCTTCTGCTACTGGTGGTTCTCTTCCTGGCTTCTCATTTCTGCCGGAATTGCCCCCCTCCATAGGTGTTCCCATCCCTGGGTCTTTTCTCTGTATAGAGAGTCTTCAAATTTACTTCTCCATCCTTCACCACTTAATCTCCTCAGTAAAAGTTTTCGAGGGAAGTATTTTGAGGTTACTAGCATCTAATATGCTATCAACCAGTGGTCCCCAACCTTTTCCAACCCACGGACAGTTTGGGGGTACAGGGTCCATGTAGACATGCACTCATGTGCATGTGTGGATGGAGCATGGTGCGCTTGTGGGACACACAGGCATGGTACGCTCACGGGGTGTGGCACCCGTGTATGCATGTGGGTAGGCCGTGCGTGTGTGTGCATGTGGGGGGCTGCATGCAGAGGTGGGTGGGAGATCTGTCTCTGCGGCCCAGTCCTGCCAAGATCATGGACCAGCACCAGGCCACAGACCGTGGGTTGGGGACCCCTGCTATAAATCATTTCATATCCATCTGCAAGGGACAAGGAAGAAGATGGCTTCCCTGTCCATCTCCTTACACTGACATTGTGCACATATATGACTGGATAAGCATAAAGAAATCTATCATCTCCTTTCCACTTAATGGCCAGAATTCTACTAGCATAACCTGTCACAGTTGATTGACAAGGTGCCAGAGCACATGTTGGCTGTACAACTGGGTGCACGACAAAGCATGTGACCAAGAAATGGCTTGGGACATTTGGTGGTACACAAGACCTTGGCACAGATTCAGCAAAGGTTCTTCTGGCCATGCATGAGCAAGGATGTTGAAGACTATTGCCGCTCATGCCCAGAGTGCCAAGTGACCCAGCCAAAACCTCGGCCTGGGGGAGAGCTGATGCCTATGCCCCTGGTGGACCATCCCTTTGACTTGATTGCCCTGGACATTGTAGGACCGCTGGTTAAATTGGCGGGGGGCACTTATATGTACTAGTGATAATTGATTACACAACCAGGTACCTTTATGCACAACTACAGCTAAGGTATTGGCCAAATAATTAATTGGGGTGTTCTCTTTGTCTTTTCTCTATCTCTTCTATAGGGAGTTTAATATGAAACATTTTGTGAGTCCATGGATCTTCTACTTTGATCCATACTCAACCTGGTGGTAATGTCTCTACCTCTGCCCTCTCCTCCTCCTCCTCTTTTTCCTCTTCCTTCACCATCCCCTGCTCACTCTCCTTTTTATTTCCTCCTCCTATACTGTAGTTCTGCCCCTCCTTCCTTTTCTCCTGCTATAAAATAGTCTTCTGCTACTGGTGGTTCTCTTCCTGGCTTCTCATTTCTGCCGGAATTGCCCCCCTCCATAGGTGTTCCCATCCCTGGGTCTTTTCTCTGTATAGAGAGTCTTCAAATTTACTTCTCCATCCTTCACCACTTAATCTCCTCAGTAAAAGTTTTCGAGGGAAGTATTTTGAGATTACTAGCATCTAATATGCTATCAACCAGTGGTCCCCAACCTTTTCCAACCCACGGACAGTTTGGGGGTCCATGTAGACATGCACTCATGTGCATGTGTGGATGGAACATGATGCGCTTGTGGGACACACAGGCATGGCACGCTCACGGGGCATGGCACCCGTGTATGCGTGTGGGCAGGCCGTGTGTGTGTGTGTGCATGTGGGGGGCTGCATGCAGAGGTGGGTGGGAGATCTGTCTCTGCGGCCCAGTCCTGCCAAGATCATGGACCAGCACCAGGCCACAGACCGTGGGTTGGGGACCCCTGCTATAAATCATTTCATATCCATCTGCAAGGGACAAGGAAGAAGATGGCTTCCCTGTCCATCTCCTTACACTGACATTGTGCACATATATGACTGGATAAGCATAAAGAAATCTATCATCTCCTTTCCACTTAATGGCCAGAATTCTACTAGCATAACCTGTCACAGTTGATTGACAAGGTGCCGGAACACATGTTGGCTGTACAACTGGGTGCACGACAGATCATGTGACCAAGAAATAGCTTGGGACATTTGGTGGTACACAAAACCTTGGCACAGATTCAGCAAAGGTTCTTCTGGCCATGCATGAGCAAGGATGTTGAAGACTATTGCCGCTCATGCCCAGAGTGCCAAGTGACCCAGCCAAAACCTCGGCCTGGGGGAGAGCTGATGCCTATGCCCCTGGTGGACCATCCCTTTGACTTGATTGCCCTGGACATTGTAGGACCGCTGGTTAAATTGGCGGGGGGCACTTATATGTACTAGTGATAATTGATTACACAACCAGGTACCTTTATGCACAACTACAGCTAAGGTATTGGCCAAATAATTAATTGGGGTGTTCTCCAGGGTGGGGTTTCCTTGGGAGGTACTGACCGACCAAGGATCGAACTTTATGAGTTTAACCTTTAAGCAGATGTGGGAACTGTTGGGGGTCAAGCCTATGAAGATGTCAGTTTACCACCCACAGGCAAATGGCCTGGTGGAACAATTCAACCATACCTTGAAAGGGATGCTCAGGAAACTAGTCCAAGAGAAACCAAAGCAATGGCATACGTTCCTGGCCCCTTTGATGTTTGCGGTGAGAGAGGTTCCCCAGGCATCGGGACGAGGCAGTAAGATTTTGCATAGATTACCGTAAGGTCAATACTCTGTTCAAGTTTGATGCGTACCCAATGCCGAAAGTGGGGGATTTATTAGACCAGCTGGGAGCGCCAGATACCTTTCAGCAATAGATCTAACAAAGGGGTACTGGCAGATACCCTTAAGGGAACATGATAAGGAAAAATTGCCTTTTCCACCCGATTGGCCTTTTCCAATTCTCAAAAATGCATGGGGCAGCTGCAATCTTCCAGTGGCTTATGGACCAGGTGTTAACCCCAGTGCACGATTGTGCCACGGCGTATACTGATAACATTATCATATACAGTTCCTCATGGGAAGATCATGTAACTCACATGTAGAGTGTTAAGGGAATTGAGGAGAGCAGGATTAACTGCCAACCCCAAGAAATGTAAAATAGCTCTTCCTAAGGTGGAATATTTGGGGTTCACCGTGGGAGGGGGTGAAATTCAACCTCAAGAAGGGAAGATCACCAAAATAAACCAATGGTATCGCCCCTGTACCAAAAAGGAAGTGCAGCAATTTCTTGGGCTGGTTGGGTACTATCGACAATTTATGCCGTAGTTCTCCACTTTGGCAGCCCCCTTGACAGACCTTACTCGGAAAAAGTTTGGGAGATGGGTATGATGGGGAGAATCACAAAAGAAAGCATTCCAAACCCTCACGTCTATGTTGTGTCAGCTCCCCACAAGGTTTGCACTGGATTTCAATCTACCGTTCACCCTTTTCATCGGTGCTTCAGATTTGGGTCTGGCGGCTGTACCTGTCAGGTGCATGAAGGTGTGGAATACTCTGTTTTATATCTGAGTCAAAAACTGACCCCAAGAGAAAGAAAATATGCAGTCACTGAAAAGGAGGCTCTAGCAATTTGGTGGGCAACCCATTCCCTTAGGTATTACCTGTTGGGGGCTCTGTTTACCTTGATCACAGACCATGCACCATTACAGTGGTTGATGCAGATGAGGGATACCAACCTGAGGTTAACTCGGTACCTGGCCCTTCAACCATTCTCCTTCAAAGTGCAATATAGGAAGGGAAGGGACCATGCTAACGTGGATTATTTCTCTCGGCAGGGTCCCTGGCCGAAAAGCGAGGCGGAATGGACAGCCCTCTTGGATGGGGGGGTATGTAAGACTAACGGTGAGAGCAAGATTCCTCTCACAGGAGTGCTGTCCCTCCCACCCTCTGCCGACAAGGAAGTGCAAACGCCACCTATTCTCCCTCCCAGGAAGATAAGCCCACTCGGAACAGACCAGGGGACTGTAGAAGAAAAGTTGAAAGGAATGACTGTTAAAGAAAGTGGGAATGTTTGGCGGGAGTGGAATGACAGCCCCAGATAGAGGCAGGGCTTGAAGATACAAAAAGGGGGGACGGGAACCCGCCTCGTGGTTGGGAGTGGATCTGGTTGGAAGATCCATGGACAGGGAAGGTAGAAAAACTAAGAGTCCCAAAGGAGGAGGCGGAGGCAAGGAGGAGAAGCGAGAGTACCTCTAAACCCTCTTATTGGGGAGAGCAAGAGACAAAGGAGTGGAGGAGAAAGTTAAGGAAAGAGGAGAGGGAAAGGAGAGAAAGATTAGAATGGTGGATGATGGAGCTACAGCGGAGGGGTCCCTCGGAAGACTATGGCCACAGTATTCCCCCTCATGAGACCAGGTCTGGACAGATGACCGGGATGAAGACACAGTCCCCTTACTGGAAGGGGAGACAGGATAATTATTGAACTTGGACTTTACACTGGACTGATCGGGACCCTGGAACACTCAGGAGTGCAACCCCTTTAAAGTTCCCATCTAACCAGTTGTTAGAGGGAGGAAATGGTTGGAATACCTTTGTTGACACAGGCTATTTGTTAAACAATCCAATAAACGTTACACCAATTTCTAAACCGAAGTCTGTCAATTTATTTGAAGAAAAACTGGAGCCTGAACCCGAACCCTCACACTTGTTCATGATAATTTGCCAGAAAACCTGCACTTTTTATGTGGATATGAATTATTTTTGACCCAAGGTTGACCCTATGCTTAAACCTCTTTTGCGTCATCAGTTCACTCCTTAAAAAGAATAAATAAACACTACTTACCTATAGAAATAATTCAGGATCTTGATTACAGTAAAAGTGACAATGTGACAGATGTTCTTTACTTACTTGAGCAATAGCTGCTTCAGTGTCTGCCAGTCCAAGCAGAAAGATCCTCACTTTGTCTATCTTTACTGGCACAGTCCTTCCTCTCCATTCCACTTCACTCATAGTAGCTGCCTGCTTTGCTCGAGTTTGAGTGATTAATGTCTGTGAAGTGCCAAAGGTAATTACATACTGGAACAGAAGTTTTTATTTTCCACAATGTTTCAGTTGTTCTAATAACCACAATACAGTGGTTATTAGTATTGGGGTAGTGAATAGTAATGGGGTAGTGAAAACTTTAATATTATCATGATAATGATTTTTAAGAAACATAACAGGTCCTATGTCTAAAGCTGAGGAACAGGCTACAATACCATCTTCAGTCACTGGACTGAATGAGTCCCTAACCAACAGGGGCATCACTATGGGAAGACCTGACGTATTTAATTTCTCCAGAGGTCTCTACACAGCTTCAGGTTCTCTGTTCTTTTGCAGGGCCCCACTTGAAATACTTAAAATTAAAATAGTTAAAATCCTATGTGGCTGATAACTGGAGTAGGAGGGCACCTTGTAACTTTCTGTGGTGAGATGCTGCCCTGCCCAATCCATGAGCTGTATATTTGAAAGAAAAGAGAGAGTTGGTTCTGCTATCCAATAATGTGGTAAAGAAGAATGAGAGGAAGAAAAGGCTGAATAAACGCTGGGATGAAGGAAGAAAACTACTGGTGAGAAAGATGGAGGTTAGAGATGGGGGTATTCATATACAAATACCCCCGCACAAGTGGAGATAATGAAGGTCCAGCCCCATAGGGCCGGATGGTCCACTCACTGATGCGCTAATGCCGAGGGTTCTGCGCTATCGTCCTATTGCTCCGGAGATCGCAATCACCAAACCACTCCTGGAAGGAGGCGGGATGACAAGCCTCTCTGCCAGGCTCTGCGATCACGATCCCTGAAGCGATAGGGCAGCAGAGCGGACCCTGCAGCATTAGCGCATCGGTGAGTGGACCATCTGGCCCCATGGGGCCAGACCCTCATTATCTCCACCTGTGCTGGGGTAGGCACCCTTCAGTCGCAAGAGACTATGGTAATGTGCTCTTGAAACGTCTGGTGTGGCTGAGGAGGCCAATTTGAGAGTGACAATCCCTTCCACACTGAAGACAAATACAGTCTGTCCCTGTCCAGCTCCCTGATTATGCTGGTTTTGATACTGCCTCTTTGCCTCAGCCTGCTGACAAAGGGTCTCTTCAAATTTCTCCAGAAGTACGTATACGAGTACCCCCATCTCTAGTCCTGTTCATGCAGGCATAACATAAAGTTATGCCTGTGCAAAGGGGCTGGGCAGTACTCCCAGTGACAGGTAACCAAACAATTCAATTGTAGAATCAGTCACATGATTTTCATTCCCACTATTGTGCCCTGCGCTGGCAGCAACAGTGCTTCATGAATCTTTCTTCTGCCTTGGCATTTTTGCACCTATCCCAGTCATAACACTGAGTAATGCCCACATAGCTAAACAAGAGAGTTGTGGGAGAGAAGTAAGAGAAAAAGCAGACATTAAAGAGAGAAAATGGTGGGCAGTAAGGAGTTTCTAGCCCAGGGAAGCTGATTACATCTGGCAATAAATTAAACAAGTATTATTCATTTTAAAAAAATGTATTAATAAACCCACAACATAGGCATTAATACTCTATTCCTATATTTGGATTTCTGAGATTTAAACATTGAATTCTCCCCACTCCCATACTCTGCTTTAGGTTCTTCTAAAGAAATGTAGAATCAAAGTAAACAAATAGAATATGGCCAGCAATACTTCTTTCAATTAATAAAAGCAAACAATTAATCACCTCCAGTTTCTCTGCAAGAAGCCCTTCAGTGCCCCCAGATCTCAGCCTCATTTGCATTAGCTCATTAATAGCAGACTGGTCACCTAAGAAACAAATGGCAAAATTGAGCTAGCGTGTGATCTACTTTAAGAGCTCATCACATAATGATAATCCAATCTTAGCTTTGAAATAGCACCTCTTGATTCCGAAAGAAATGTAAGACTATTAAGAGCACGATAATTTGTATTCTGAATATTTATGCACCTCAGGAAATACTTGCCTTAATGATGCCTAAAGAACACAAGCCAATTTGCAGGTGGAATAAAGGGCTAAGAAAAATGGATCTGTGGTTCCAATTTGCAACCCACATCAAAATCAAAGGGGTGCACTGAGGGAACGGATACCCAAACAATGTATTCAAAAGACATGTACAGTACAGTCTTGGAGTAAAGTTGCACACTGTACTTTCAGTTAAAAGATAATCAGTGCTATCTATGAAAGGACAGGTCCTCCTGCCCTTTCTCACTGAAAGCTGTTTCAGCTTCCCTCTGTATGGGAAAATATATTGCTATTTCTACAAAAAGAAAGTACCTAAAGGAAAAGGTTTAAGAATTTGCCCTATGTGAAAACATTAAGTCATTTTCTTTTAAAAAATAATAATCCAGGAAAAACTACAGGTGACAATGTGCTACTGGACTTTACTGAAATGATTGGGTTTTGTCCAAATGTATTTTCCCCCACAATCATAAAAGTGAAGGAAAAAGGGCAGGGGTTTGCTGGTAATACTGTAGTATAACCAAGGAATAGTAGTGGACAGGAAACACTGACATAAAACCTTGACTACTTCATGATTAAAGGCATACGTACACTCTCATTTTCTCAGGTTAAATTTAGAATTCTCTTCCATATTTCTAAGTTATTTTTGGCAAGGACAGACTAAGCCCAACAATGAAAGGAAGAATTTCTTCCTTTTCTTATTGACCTTTTCTAGCAAGGCTTCTAGTCCCTAAAACTTTATTTGGGGGCACCCTAGAGACAGATCATTTCTCTGTTCTGTTGGAGTCTGTTGTTCAATCACATGAAGTCTATTACTGGATCCTGTCCTCCAACAGCAAGAGCTGCTTTAAATCAAAATACCAAGTTGAGGAAGGTTCTAGATAATGAAACATGCAGAGCCACTATGTATATCCATTACTCTACTAGTTTGTTATATAGATCTAACTAGCATGTATTTCCAGAGTTCTTTAAAGATTATCCCCCTCTTGATTTACTTACCAATATTGTAAGCACAATAACGAATATTTGGAGAGATCTCTTCCACTCGTTGATTATACAATATTGCCTGCTCGTCTGTAAAAGCACTAGCTAGCTTTTCATATATGGTTCTGGAACAAAAAGATTAAGGCTTGATATTTAGTATTTTACAGCCCACTTTGCTGTGCCGATTTCTTTGTTTCAGAATTACTGTTGCAGTGCAGAGCAACTTTTATAAAATCATTTTTAATTTTAATCATATTGCTTAACAGCAGAACAATTTGTTTGGACTTAAAATTTATCAGGAGCGTAAATCTGTACCCAAACACATACAAGAACTACGCATTATAGGTATAACTAGCACTGTACCACAGAAGATTTGATGGAATATTAAAAGAGATAAAATAAAAACCAAACTCACTTGCACTTGTTAAAAGCCTCCATTGCTGCTTTCCATTCTTGGTGCTCAAAGCGGAGCATACCTGTGAGGTAAGCTGTGTATGCCTACAAAAGGGGTGGCCTGTATATTAGTCAGTGCAACAGCACAGTTTCTACAACTATGAACATCAAAAACGTAACTAGGAGAAAACGGGAGACTCCTCAAACTTCATTCTTTTTCATCATCTGCCCATTCAACTACAAGTTCCTTAACATGCACAAATGCCATCAAATACAATAATACATATATACAACCGGATACACTGCATAGATTTTAAATTCATGTTTCAAATGCTAAGAAAGCATTCAGAAGCCCATAGAAAAGACATTCAGAGTGCCCAGTGTGTGCATGTGTATGTATGAGTGAAGATACACCACAAGAGTTTGTGATGCTGGACAAGTGTTTTGTGCTAGACCACAATACCACCAAGATAAACATTCGAGAAAGTGGAGGAACTTGTGAAACAGAAATATTCTAACTGGCTAACAGAAAAATCAGCCGATCAGCTCTGCCTGATTCTTATGGTTCACAAATCAGTCTAAAAAGATTCTAGTTTAGATGTTTTTCTAAACTGGACAAATGTATAAAGAATATTTTCATCAATTATAGTAAGCTGAGATTGATAAAAGCAAACTGAAAGTAGTCTGATAAACTGAGGCTAGGGAAAAATGGGATAATTATCCATACCATAGCCTGCATGTAAACTCATTTGATTTTCTGGGAAGATAGACAATAAAAGTTGCCACCTAATGTTGTGGGCTTCCTAGAGACCTCACACTGGACTAGTGAGGTTTTAATCTAACCAAAATCCAGATAATAAACCCACAATCTTTTCCGATTCAGGAAAACTATTATTTTATTCTTCTTGTGTTTTTCTTCTGTACTCCACAAAACATACTTTGTCTCAAATGGGAGCTCAGAATTTCTAAAAACTGAAGATCCATCTTCCATAAAATATAAGCTGCCTATTCTCAATTACACTAGTTCATTTCTCTTAGTAGGATTCTTTGGTATACATGGATCCTTCAATAAAGGCCAGTATCCTGTTGCACAGCTCCACCTGCACAATATGTCACCATTAACAGTAGATTACTGCTAATGAAAATACATCTTTTGGGGGCAGGTTGCAAATGATTCAGGTGCAATGAGACAATACTGCACATACCCCCAAACTAAAAAAGGAGATCTAGCCAGCAGCAATCTCTTGTTGATGATGACATCATTCCTGGTATATGCAAAACTGCACAACTATTCTCTTTAGGATACTAAGTGAAACCATGTTGGACAAGATGTTGAATTCACCATAAGCTTCCCATAGATTGAAAGATTCCCTCCATCAGGCGGCTTCTGATTCAGCACAGCTCTTCTGCTGAGTGAACATGGAAGGAAGCAACTTCTGTGCACCCCTAGTCCTCTACATGTCCTGAAAATTTGCTGCAGAAGGCTGAAGCACCTTCATAACACAGACACACTCTCATCATTAAAATAAAACCCTTGATCAAGCTTAGTATGTGCTAGTTGCCTGGTCTGCTATATGGTAAGGCCTGACATTTCTAAACCATCCTCCATCATTGTATAATGCAATGTACATAAAAATAAGAATAGGTGTATGCATTATATGCCTATATACATATTATCTTTACCTTCATGCCCAGAGGAGTACAAGAGACAACAGCGACTTAAGAACAAACATATAGGCTACCCTGAAATTTTCTCTAGGTCAAACTCAATCAGATCTTACTAAACCAGAGTCTACTGTTACCTATTCTGTGTTCTAATTTCTTTACCAGACCTTGATTAATTTTCTGGCTCAAACTGCACGCCTCTGATTTTTAAAAAGTCTGTTCTGTAACTACAGATCAACCACATACATATTGCACACCCCTGAACTAGTATCTACAAGAGGTTTAATATTATTTATAGTTCAGACTCAAACATTCAATAAGAAAAATGAAGTAAAGCTTAAATTTTCTCTGCTGCTGGCATATAAGAGTTCTAAAAGCTAATAACCTGAGCTTCTAGCTTGGTCTTGGCATCCACTCGATTGCTTTCACACAGGCGCTCCAACTCCTCTGCGTGCTTTACTGCTTTGCGCAGTCGAGACAACAAGTGAAATCGTTTGCGAGGTTCAGTGTTTGCTTCCTGCTTAAGCTGCATAGCATAGCTCCAGGCTCTCTCAGCGTCCATGAGAATCAAGAGCAAGTATCTACAGTGCAAGATAGATAAGGAGCAAAACTACTAATATAAAGATGGTTTGCAAACTAACTTTCTTCTTTTACTTCACCACAGAACAATTCCCATGAAACTAGAGGAAATGTATTTGTTTCTAGACTTTTAAAGCCCTAATCAAGCATCCTGTCTAAAGACTATACTTTGTTGGAACTATTCAAACTCTACATCAAAACCTGATTTTGTAAATAACAATTGTACCTGTATTTAACAAACTACCTTCTCTGCTGATATGACAGAATTCTGGTAATGTAATTGTGCATCAATAAAATTTTAGTCATCTATCCCACAGCTTCATTGTGGGTGGAGACAAGTATAAACTGCTAAACCTGGAGGTGATTTGAGCCTCTTAACGAAGTGGCTACACTTGCTATTTTCAGCTTCTTACACTCTACATATTTCAAGGATGAGCACAAGTCCTTGCACAATTTCACTGCAGCTTCTGTATCACCTCAAGACACACAGAACCAATTCATTTGGTCCCTATATTCCCTGTAATGTGAAAGCCCACTGTTAACCCAGATTTTCTACATAGCAGGCGGCTGTTCTTTACTTTTACATACAAATTAAAATAAGTCACATACAAAGAGGCCCAACAGGGATATGTTATGGTGCTTTTACAGAGCAAAACCAAATGTGTAGCAAGGTATTTTTATAATTTCGTGCTCAACTGACCAGAACCATTTTATTGACTAGGCAAAAAAATTTATTTGATCTCTTTCTCTTCATGATGCACACAATTCTCCTAAATGCATCACATTTTTTTAAAAAAATCAATTTATTGATATGCTATTTTCAAAGTGGTTGTACAGGCTTTCAAGAACGGTTTTTCTATGAAATGTGTCTTCCTTCATTACTGCTAGTTTTTCAGTGAAAAATTTAAACAAGGATTGATAAACTGGTGTTTTACTATTTTATTAATATATCACATATTTTAGCACTATTCAAGGCTTTTAACTCTTTTGTTTTCTTGTGTTCTGTCCCTACATCTAATGAATAGCCTGATTTCCTATCAGATACAGAGGAAAACTCATGCACTTCCACCTCCTTCTACAAGGTGGAACAAATAAGCAGAGCACATTGGTCTCCTCTACCTCTGCCTTCAATGTAGTCTGAGCTTAATGTTCCTGCCAAGTGCAGAAGCCAAACCCCATGCCTCCACTCACATCTTGCCTCTACCTTTCAAGACGGGAAACAAACTGAATTCAGCTGAATTTGGGTTTTGAAGAGGGGCCAGATTCAGCCCTAATTCCTTTGTAGCTCCATGATTTGGTGGTGACTTCAGGCTCACTCAAGTTTCTGTCCAACATGGCTAGATCGTTGAACTTTGCATTTAGCCAGGCATGTTTGATCTAATCTGCAGTGTGTCCCACATTCAACATAGCTACTGAACCTCCTGACAGCCACCATGGTATAGTGCAACCATTCTCAACTTTCTTTGGCCATGGCTATAAACACAACATGAAAGAAATACAGGCTGAATCAGGATTGTCTAAATCAGTGGTTCTTAACATTGGGTTACTCAGGTGTTTTTGGACTGCAACTCCCAGAAGCCTTCACCAACAGCTGTGTTGGCTGGGGTTTGTGGGAGTTGCAGTACAAAAACACCTGAGTAACCCAAGGTTAAGAACCACTGGTCTAAATTACATAATGAACCTTACAAGGTGGTGTGTAAAAACTGTTTCCAGTCTGTGGCTCCCTTCAAATGAGCCAGGGCTCACTAGGGGACATATGGCCCCTGTTGAGAATGGCTGGTGTAGTGGATACAATGATGGATTAAAACTCAGAAGAACTGGGCTCAAATCACAGCATGGCAATGGATACTAAGAGGCTGGCAGTGGTGGCAATGGTAAATCATTCCTTGAACACCTCACATAGCTTGAAAATCCTCTTAGGATCACCATATGTCAGAAATGACTTAACAGCATATGAAACAAATAGCACCTCCTAATACCTGTTGTCAGATAACAGCTCTTCTGTTACTTTCTTCCCAGTGAACTTATGCCTATTTCCCATCTTGAAGTTGAGGGTTTTTCTGAGCCTTCTTAAGCGGCGGGAGCAGTACCCCCTGGAGTGAAGGAGAATCATAAAAACTGTTAATTCTGATCCACAACAAAACTTTCCTTCTGTTTTACTTCTCTGTATTGTTAGTGACATCAAACAGACCAAAAGGACCAACAGTATCATACCTGTGCTATATAAAAAGATACAACAAAGAATATTTGAGAAATCTGAAAAAAGCACTAAATTTAAGACATGGCCAAAGAGAAAGACAAGAAAAAAATTGGCAATGTAATACTAATTATATGTTTGATCAAAAAGTTGATTTGTCATCTGTTCTTAAGAGTGGAAGATAGTAGTGAAATAAGAAACATTGAAAATCTGGAAAAATAAGCCACCAATGAAATTGAGATTGTAGCACTGAATGAAACCATATTAGAATTATATGAATATTTGAGAAATCTGCCTGAAAATAAGACCTAACCTGAAAATAAGCCCTAGTATGATTTTTAGGATGCTCGTAATATAAGCCCTAACCCAAAAATAAGCCCCAGTTAAGTGAAACCCCACCCTCCACCATTGTGCAGCAATCAGAAGATGACATGACTGTGTATGAATAAATGTAGGTTATACATGAAAAAAACAAAACATCCCCTGAAAATAAGCCCTAATGTGTTTCTGGAGCAAAAATTAATATAAGACCCTGTCTTATTTTTGGGGAAACATGGCAGGTGTATCTGCTGAATTCTGAGGGTCATATAAGCCAGTTCATATTATGGATTCTGTAGGTTGCAGCCCTTTTCTGGCCAATGGGAATAATTGTGGGACCTGTGATGCCCAAGCTACAAGACTATCTTCTTATAAGGAGAAGAGTGTTCCTAGGTTTTGGACTGAGTGCTTTACAGTGCTGAACCTAGAGTATACCAGTTGTCAAATCTCATGATACCTACAATAATACCTGCAATTTCTCTTTTGTTACTTTCTTCCATGGTATCCCAATTAGCCAAACAAATAAAGCCATTAGTACCAGATTTACATACTTGCCCTAATGCGCGTTCCTAAACAATTGGTTTTCATTAAATTATTCTGTGTAGCCCGCAACATCAAAATATATCGTGCATCAAAACTTGCATTTGTGTATAATTAACATATTATATTAGTGTTAGTATATTCTTAAAATACAGGAAACAAACCAAAAGACAGTTAAACAAAAGAAATAAATTTGATGCAAAGAGGTAAATCCAACTGGTAGCCTTATTTAGAGTAGACCCACTGAATATGACATACTGAAGTGCTAACATACCAAAATACCAATTATCAAATTGGTCTATCCGAACTGGAATTAACTGTATTAGGCAAAAAATCTAGTTAGGCAGAATGTCTTTGCAGATTTTCTCTAAAGCTGATCTTTTCTGACAGCTGAAACAAACAACATGTATACAGATTTGCTGATCTTTTCTGACAGCTGAAACAAACATGTATACAGATTCAGTGACACTAGCAAAAGCCAAGGAAATTATGGTCTACCAACAACTTTCATGGATTGCTCTTTGCATACTAACCTGTATCTCTGAAAATCACCGTGCCGTAATCCATGCTGCTGCTGTGATTCCTTAACAATCTGAAGAACTAAAGAACTTGTTATGGAAATTTTGGAAAGTTTCTTAGAAATATGCTATTATAGTTATAATGCATTTGTTACTTCAACAGAAAACATGAAAGTGGTTATAGCAAAACTTGATTGAGTGGCAGACAATTTCACCCCACACATTTAAAAGTTCATATTCCTAAAACCAGACAAAATTGTGTCCAAGAACATTCACATTAAAATATAGCAACTAGTCTTTAAGGAGTCACAACATTTTGTCTTTATTTTTCAATTTTGTTTTGTTTCTGCCTGACATACAGCTGTAGATGTCCTTATTGTTTCCTTCACTCACTATATCAGGAAAAACTTCCTGTTAGAATAGTACAACAGTGGAACCAGTTACCTTGGGAGTTGGTGAGTGCTCCAACACTGGAGGCATTCAGGTAAAACTTAGATAAGGACCTGGCAGATATGCTTTGATTGTATTTCTGCATTGAGCAGGGAGTTGGACTTGATGGCCTTGTAGGCGCCTTCCAATTTCACTTTTCTATGATGAACTGCCACCAGCACAGGACATGGAGTTCCTAAGAGAGCTTTGTCTCTGTGTTGTTGTAGCTGGGATACACTTTCATGTCCAGATACAGTGCTATGTAAATTGATAACACCAAGTGTAATATTTTATTTTATCAAGAAACTCAGAAGTCATAGTCAAACACTACAAATACATTTCACTGCATCTTTTTATTGTAATGATGTAATTACTATCCAGCACATGCAAGAGGATGACTGCTATGTCATGCCTGAAAGTGTAAATCAGTATTTAATTAGCTCTTTATCAGTTTCAATGAGCTTATTATAACAGAAGTGTGTATACACCCAACATGGAAAAACTGCTATAAAAATACATCTGATAACATAAAAGACTCAGGGCCCCACTCCTTGCCATGCAATCTTTAAGCAGAAATCTTGTTTCCAGCTTAAAACGTGTGTCTATAAATTGCACAAAGGGTTTGCATTTTGACATTCTTTTTTCATGTACAGACAAGACTACATTTTCTTGCCAGATCAGTCTAATGCAAATCCAGGTGGAGTTAAGACAACTCATGTTATCTAAATCGCAAAACCCAGAATTAGGTTTCTATTCCATCTCACATCGACAAAAACGGTCCCACCCCGATGTTTGTTAACCCCCACTTCTAAGAGTAGGGCTTGATCCTTCACGCTCACCCAACCCTTCTTAAAACCACGAGCACCACCTTTGTGATCTTGTTTCCTTCTGCCTGGATTTCAGCCAAAAGCCAGCAACCACAACCCAAGTCCCGGAGAGGGGGGGCAGTTTGGGAAAGGGATGGGAAGGCAGTCGGGAGAGGGGGGGGATCGGCTTTCCTCAGGCGAGGAGGCCGGGGCAACATGGAGCACTCGCTCCTTAGCTGAAGTGACACGTCCCCATTACCAGTCCCAGCCCCCGTTACTTGGCCAGCAGGATACTCTCCAGGCCCAGGCTATCCCCAAGGTCGCCCGACTTCGGCTTTTCATTCTCCTTATTCTCCTCGAGGCCCGCTGCGGAACCGCCACTGCCGCCAGAGCCCCCACTTCCTCCGCGGCCGCCGCTTGTGCTACCCCCTCCTCCTCCTCCTCCTACGCCGCCGCCACCGGCCACCTGCCGCTCCGCCGCCATCTTGCTCCAGTTCCGCTTGCGGCGCGGAACCTCACGGGATGGGAAAGGGGCGTGGCCCAAATGGCCATGCGCAGAAGCCATGGCCGCTGAGTCAGCCGGAAGGAAAGGCGGCGGCGAGCTCGGCTTTTGAAAGGGAGGCGCTCAAGGAAGGTGGGCGCCTTCGTCTCGTTGGTCTCTGCGCTCACCAGCTGGTTGACGGAGCGGTCCGCCCCTGCCTCTCAATACCCTTTGGGCAAAGGAAATGGTGATTGCCAGAATTCTAGTTAGGGTTTTTTTTTCCGTGTGCATACCAATAGGACATTTCTGAGGAAGCAGTCTGGATAATAAAGTGCTGGATCGCTCTCTCTGGCCGGGTAGCCAGAGGCTGTGCCTCCCTGCCAAGGGGCTGGACTCGATGATCCCGAGGGCTCCTCCCGGCTCTGCTCATAATATTCCTGTGCCCTCAAATCAATTCTGACTTTTGATGACCCTCTTCAGGTTTTCTAAACAGGTATGGGGTGCCTGTTCAGGTGCGGCATTACGGAGCTAAGAGAGAGCCTTCATCTTCCGTGGAAATGTGCTGCAGAAAGTATGCCAGGTTTGGCAAAGCCACCTCTGGTGTATTTATTTAACGGTATTGTTCTCTCTCAGTGCATTTCTGTGTTAGAAAACTCTGCTCCTGTTGGATTTCTACATGTTGCGTTCAGCTGAAGGCACACGAACTGGAAACAGAAAATACGCAATTCGTTGTTCTGGGGGACTGTTGTGGAACATGGGATTTAGTAATTCTGCCCCTGGCACCATTGTCTGTAGCAAAATAAAAATGGATATATTTAACCACTTGTACCTCAGAGGATCCCTACGAATCCAGCGAGGATTCTACTTTATTAAATGGCTTGTGCTGTTTGGCGGATGTTTCTCCCTGGTGCAATGATAAATTTGCAAGGGTAAGTGCTATCAGTCCCCATTGACAGTTCCCCACATAAGGAGAGTTAAAAATGCAGGCAGCTGGACGAATGTGTGTCAGTAAATGGGAAGCCGTTCGTTACTTTTTCCTAGTGTGGGGTAATGGATTAAGTGATGGGCTAGGACTCGGGGGAATCTGGATTCAAATGTTTATTTGTATTTATTTAATATATTTTTACCCCACCTTTCTCCTTAAAAATGATCCAACACAGCTTATATCATTGAAATACAATAAAGTTAAAAACAGTGAGTACTGTATACAAATACTAAAGGATGAAACAAATGGCACACTAAAATACAGTAAACAAAACACATTCAAAACAGTAACGCACAACCATCCATTTAATAACTCCACAAGTGTTATTCTCTTGCCTCAAGAGAAGGGATTTTGCCTGCTTGGGGAAGGACTGCAAAGATGGGGCCTGCCTGGCCTCCAGTGGGAGGGAGTTCTAAATACCCCTCTAGCCATGGAAACTCATGGTGGGCTGGTGGAACTGGGTAGTAGTAGCAGCAGTAGTATCTGTTGTTAGGTTTTCCAGGTATAAACTACTCAGAAGTGGTTTATCCTTCTTTTGTGAGCACCCTGGGACTGTGCAGTTTGCCCAAGGCCACACAGGCTGGCTGTTTTCCCAGAAGCCACAGCGGGGAATACAAGCTCCCAACCTCTGGCTCTGCAGCCAGATACCTAATTCTCTGAGCCATTCAGCCAGTATGTATAGATACCGAGGAAGTTGTGCACACCGAAATACAACAGTCTTTAAAGCACTACAGTGTGTTTGGTGTTGTGTCATACACTTCCATGAAGGAACACAACTGTTTCTTTGTACAAAGCAAGACACAAGATAACAAACTGTTACATTTCAGTGTGAGCTTTTATGGAAGAGCCAGCCTATGTGGCCTTGGGCAACCTGCACAATCCCAGGATGCTCTCAGAAGAAAGGAATGGTGAATCACTTCTGAGTACTTCCTACCTAGAAAATCCTGAAAAGGGTCACCTTAAGTCATAATTGATTTGATGACAAATATTTATTAATTATAATTTACACATAGCCTCATGACCAAGTGAGGATACAGAAAATAGACTATTAACTGCACTGTTAATTTGAATTGCTAATTCAGAATGAAAAGAATAAAGGATGTACAAAGGAAAAGGGAAGTGAGCAGGCAAGGGTGTAACTTCTTGATAGCTGAACAAACTGAGGATCAGGTAACCTGCCCCCATTTGTATTGAGCTAGTTGTGAGTCTGTCCATCAACGTCCTACTGCTGAACCTGAACCACTCATTTCTTCTCTTTTTTCCTTAAACGGTGAATCTGAGGAGATAGTTGTCTTCAAAAGCTATTACTGCATTGTTAGTCTTTCAGATACAAGGGCTGCATTCGGACATCATGATGAACTATATTTTAGTAAGACATCAAGACTAACCCACTCCTAAGCTGACTTGCTTTTCTGCAGTAGTTAATAACAGAATAAAGCAGTTTTCAAAGACATGATGGTTTGAAGAGGGATTATTTCAAACTAGCTGCATTGATGTTTAATCATAGTTTGTTGGTCTGGACATCACTGCAGCTTACAAAAGGTGGAACCAAAACCTTCCAAAATTATGCTATGCAAAAGCTGGACAGTGGAAGGTGAAGCACGCTAATCTCAGAGGAAAATAGATTGGTTCTTATCTTGCTAAACTGTAGTTCAATGTGATAGCCAAACATAACTAATGACTTACTTCTAATATCATATGATCAGACTTCCTTGTCCTTTCCTTCTTACAGTTGTCTCTTGAACGAACCTCCCTCATGTCTAGCCTAGAGGGTTCCCCAATCCTCTGAAACAAATTTGGGGTAGCCGTGGGAGGCCTACAAGAAGCTGGGAAGATCTATATTTTTCCTGTTTTGCTGAGGGAATGGCTCGGTTGAATTCAAGCAATGATGCTTAACATTTGTTTTAAGTCAGTGATACAATCTCAGCTAAGAAAAATAAACCAGTAAGAATTCCTGCAAGGATAGATGAGGTCTCAATATAGTTTGTGGGATGTATATTGCTTATTACTTAATCTACAGTTGCCATAAGTGATGTTTGTATATATTTTATCAGAAACTGTGTGTTTTATTCTAAGGGTTAGAAAGAATAACCTACAGGCTAATTCAGCCCTCAAAGTAGGGTCCTGGGCCCTAACCTTCGGCCCATATGCAGATCTGGATGATATGTTTATTTAATTTTGCATTTCATGTTCCAGTTTTATGCAAAGAAGAGAGTCCTTTAAAAAACGCCTGGAAGTGATTGGATGGTCACGTCTTGTACTGGAAAAAAAGGAGCATGTTCTGATCTCAAGGAGGCCAAGGTGCCCTGAAATAAATGAAATTTAATAATTGAAATAGATCCCTAAGAGGTTTCTGAGTATATGTGAGGGTTCAGTTTGTGGGGCTGTCGGTACTTCAAATAAAGGACGAATAAAGTAAATCCAATGGTTCTGTATTTATTGGAACATCAACTCCAACAGGGTTCACCCCCAGAAAAGGGTTCAAAGTCTCTTGTAAAACATTGTTCGGTTTTAACGGGGTCCATAAACCATTTATAAAAGGGTTTGTCATCTCTGGGTTCCAAGGTCCTGTTAACGACGGCATAGGTCCCTGCCCAGGGTCCATTTCTTCTTCCAACGATATTAACAGTAAAGTCTCTTCATCCCCACTCCACTCACCCCAGGACGACCCGTCTCCTCCTTCAATTCCCCAGGGGCCGGGTAACCCCCCAACTTCCTCAATTCTGCTATATGCCATTGCTTTTTCCTTTCCAGCTCTCGGGCTACGGCCTCCCTTTCTTCCCGGAGCTTCCTTCTCCACTCCTTGGCCTCTGTCTCGCCCCAATAAGAAGGACGAGGTTTCAGCCCAAGCTGACGGCGCTTCTCCGCCTCTTCGTGTGGGACACGGACCTGCTCCCACGTGGGTCCAAGGATCCTCCATCCAGATCCACTCCCAACCACCACCACCCCATATCTCCGCCTGCTTTCCTCTTATATCTCCCGCTGCCGCCTCAATCTCCTCCCTCCGTCTTCCCGCCAAAGATTCCCCGGGTTCTGGGGTAAGGGTTAACCCTTTCAGAGTCACCTCCAAATCTCCTGTATCTACCCCCTTGTTTAAGGTAAGGGGTTCGGCAATCTCTTGTTCCCAATCTGGGGTCTCCACGCCTTTCTCTTCCCAACGTGCTGGGAACGGAGGTGGGGATGTTTGGGTGTGAAGGGTTGTCTTCGTGAGCGACGGCACTCCCACTAAGGCCTCCATTTTGGGGGCCTCACAGTGTACAACGTGCTGTTTTTCTGGACAGTTTTTGGGAGAGACAGTCCTCCAGGTACTAAGAAAGGGTAAAAATGACCCCTAGGATTTTCATATATACCAAGATTTCTGTGAAGTAATTCTGTTAGTGTACATTTTAACACCAGTTTGTGTCTAAACACGTGCATCTGTTGCTCTCCACTCCCCAGCCTCATTGTTCCTGACAAACATACGTGATCTATTCACATACTGTAAAGTAGAGAGCTACCTTGTGAAACTCTTCAAGGCCACTGATTGGATACCTCTCTCTGCTGTTGCAGAACAATCGCCATACTGCTCAATCAGCCACCCAAGCTGCCCTGGCGGGATGGCACATCATAGGCATGCTTGCTTCATGCCATGAGAGGTCACCCCTGGCAGCAGAGGATAGAGTGTCTCCTTGGGCAAAACAAGATGGTTCCCAACAAGATAATTGTCCTTGAAGGCCTTCGCCACATTTTAGCCATCCTCGGACTCCTACTGTGGCCTTCCCAGTGCCCCTCTCAAAAGGCAGTTTCTTGCAAAAGGATCCTTTTGAACATGAGGAGGCCTGCCTTCCTGTTTCCAGTTGCATTTCAAGGGTCCAGGGAGGGAGAACCGGCCTCTGAGGCCGTGTGCTCTGTGATGGGGGCCACTGCATCCCCATGCTGCGCTTAAAAGGATGTTTTGGCACTGCCATCCTCAGCCACGGACTAAAACATGTCTAAGGGAAGGGGACCTTGAGCTCCCCTATTGGCCATGATAGGACCCTGTTTGTTCGTTTTTTTCTTCAGCTGCTCTGCTTCTGAGTGTTCCAGCTATAAATTAAATTTCTTCCCCAGACATATTTGTCACT